CTGTGCGAGGCTGAAAATTAGTAAATTCTGCATCCGTAAGTCCCTCAATCTGTTAACAGCGTTAGGTTATCCTCGTTTCATATTTCCTGTATTTAACGTCTCTGTTCGCCCTATATCCTATCTCTTTGCCAAAAGGGGCATTATACATGCGTATGGAGTACGGATTAGAAAAAAATTATCGGTTCTCTTTACCCTTTTTTCTATAAATTAAGCTCTAAGAATATAACAGTATTAGACGAACTCAGAAACAACCGCAGTATTAGCTGATGCAGTGAATGGCGACATCATGTAAATTAGTCCTATAAAATGAAGGATTACGTAGCTTGATGTCAGCGAGGTGTCAACAGGTTCCTCCGCTCATCAATGGTCATCTGTCAAGGACGAAAATACGATTTGAAATCGAAGAGCGATCTGATGACACGTGCAAGTATAGGTAGTCTATCCGCTGAGCTTTAGCTGTCAATTTTATTTGCCCGGTGCTTGAAAATCGGTGAAGAATTGCGTTGTTTTTGGCTCTGAAATTGCAGAGATATTCATTTTCCAGGAAAGGGCAGGGCGCGAGAGAAAGAGAGAATGAATAGACGTAGAGATGAATTATGACTTTGAATATATGCTTTCGGTGCAGAAAATCCTCCGTTAAGACCAAGTGCGTTCAGTCGGGATAAAAACATGTCATGAAGAAATGCGCTTCGAGCAATTTGCGCCCTGCTTTGGTTTTGATTACTCTCATAAGTTATCTAGACTCAGAACGTTCCAAAGAGCCGAATAAAAGGATTATCAATTGATATTGGAGTTGGGAACAAGAAAACATGTGTTTCGCATGCAGTGATTCAAAATCTCAACGTATAACAGTTTTTACTTCGAATGAAAAAACAGCGAAAATATATATTATCTTAATGATCTATTAACAGATAATATTTGGTGCCTAAGTTGCGTATGGATAAGGAATTTATGTCAAATACACAATTTTAATATCCGAAAGAGTGCAATTTAATTCATTTTTTCATGCCTTCATGGGCGAGACAATTGCTCAATAATTCCAAAATTTTCGAGTACCATACGGGGAAGATTAAAATTTCGTATAGTTGTCTCTCAAACCTGCATTACATGGAATACAAAAACCCTGGTAAAAATTGGCGATACGAGCTGCGTTTCAAAATACAATAGAAGTTCTTATAGCCGACTAAAGAAGGCTATTGAAAATCATATAGCTGGCTGTAGAAAGTCGAGCAAATCATATAGCCGGGCTATACGAAGCTATAAAAAAGTATACTGTCGAGCTATAGTTCCTATCGCCGGGCTTTACACTTTATCGCCATTGGCTATAAAAGGCTATAAGAAATTGTGTAGAAATTCGTGTGCTTTGGAAATCATTAAGTTTGATACGAAACTACTTTAATATTTACAAAACACACATTATATTTTCCTTTAAAACATTTTTTTTTCTTTCATCAATTAAAACGAGATGGTAAATACCGAGTGTGCAAACATTTCAAAATCATGAGTTGAAAAACACTGTCTCCGCGATTTTAAATATTAGAGCCTAACACAAAGCGGTGCGGCGACGCATTGGCGCCTACAAACCTAACAGGGATACTTCACGCATTGCGCGGCGACGCACTGGCGCCTACAAACCTAACAGGGATACTTCACGCATTGCGCAATGCGTGAATCACGCTCTCTGCCCGCTCGCCAAGCCGCAGCGTGCTACGGCATCTGAAGCAACTATTTCACACAAGATATATTGCACAAAATCTTAGAAACTTGAAGGCGCTCCAACATATTAAGAATGACAGGCATCCTTCAAAAATACGGAGCTTTCCTCGCAAAATAAATCAAGATACTACGGCACAAAAAGAGAGCGGTAGTCCAAAAACTAACTAAGTCCTAGTATCCGTATTTAGTAACGTTTAGCATAAGCTTTATCGTCTGGCTGTTGCTTAATCGCCATCGGCTATAAACGGCCATAAGAAATTGTACAGCCGGCTCTAGAAGCTATTGGAAATCTTAAAGCCGGGTTTAGGTCTATAGTATTTTGGAACACACATTCTACTGCCAATTTTTACCAGGGAAACCTTTAAAACGTCGGTTTTTCATTTTTGGGTTAAATGTTTTTAAAACTTTCCTTTTCTCAGTATAATACTAATATCAAAATTTTCAGTTGTTTAATACTAAACTCTCTTTTTCTATTGATACATTTTTCATGTAAACTAGTCTTACTTAGGTTTCAAGATCAAAGCGTTAGGAAAACTTGCACACAATTTTTTTACCTACATAAGGTCGTACCGGAGTTTTTTGAAGCACCTCAAAAATGACCTCCGTAAAGTACCGTCGTTAACGATTTATAAAAAATAACACTTGACAAGGCTAATACATCTCATGGATACCCATATTGCATAACAGAAAAAAATCCAAAGGCGATCTAGTTTTTTCGATGTCCCTTGCAACGCGCATAAGGCGCGAGACTTTTCACGCCATTACGCGAATTTACAAACTTTGGTGGCAAAATGCTGCTGAAATCGTCCACCATACATAGTATAATGTGAGCACTCATGCAATGGTGATAACTCCGGCAATAAATGTACTTAGCTCACTAGTGGCATCACCTAAAGTCATAAATTAAGCGGAGAGTGGTGTAATTAAACAGGGTGTCGTAAATCCACTGCCCACCGCATCGGTCAAAGGTATCTAAGAGTTACAACGCGCATAGGTACACATCCCAACTTAACTCTAGCTGTTAAAACTTAAACTCAGGTATTCTAATTTAAATATCCACTAATTCTGTTATTTTCTATTGTTGAAGGGCATGGACTCTTCTTCAAAAACGCCATAAACCAGCTATGAAACGCTGATATTTTTAAGTTTTTTTTGTTTTTCTCATTTCCTAATTTTATTCAGAAGATGTTTTTAATCGTGGTTCTCTTGAAATCTGGTGATAAACAGCCGTAATTTGTGAATCTTGCCTCAAATTAAAGGAAGTACATTATGGACCAAGTTTAATCTAAACGCACCCAGTCGTGTCAAGTTTGAACCGCGAGAAAGATTTTGAGGTTTTCTTCTTCCAATTTCACACACAACAAAGTTTAGCGACTATTTTCAGGCTCAAAATATTTTTTTCCGACTTGGAATTTTTGACAAGAGAAGATTTACAACTACTCGAATTCAGAACTACTCCTAAGTCGTTTCTACCAATTACTGACATGCCACTCCTTTAACACCTCCGTGCGCTCTGCGACACCCAACCGCCGCCAATAGCAATCCTGCCAGTGCTCCCCTGCTCCCGCGGCAAATCGTATTTCTTCATTTCCTACCTTATTCCTTCAATCCACGATTTGGCAAGTCCTACGTCATTTCTTTCCCACCAAAATGAAAGGTGCATTAAATTTAATCCTTATGAATTTGAACGAAACCTAATATTCCCAAAAAATAGACCGCGTTAAACAGAAAGGAACCAAGCCACATCAGCTATTGCCAAATTGAATTGGGCAATTTAATTTTTTACCTGAAAACGGTTGTGCGGATTTTTCTGCAAATTTTAGTGAATTTTCTGAGTAGTACGAAGCAAATTCCTCAAAAATGTCAAAAGAATCCGCAAAATAGTTCTCTTGTAAAAAATTAAATTGCTCTATTAAATTTGGCAATAGCTGATGTGGCTTGGTTCCTTTCTGTTTAACGCAATCCAAATATCAAATGCATTTGGATTTGCTTATAAGTTCGTTAATAAAAATGAAAATTGTAGGGTAAATTAGGATTTTGAGCTATTGGAAGTGAGAAATTTTGATCATGTGATGTGCTTTAAGTTTCAGATTCGTTAATATATTCAAGAAATTTGATTAAATATCCTGGCTTAGCGCATATCGTGTATACTCTAAGAATATGTAATTTTACTCATGTATGAAATGCACGAGTTTCCCCTCTCCCGATCAAGTTGTGAATAATTCCCTCCCCAGTAATAACACACAGACCCAGGACCATTTTATTGAAGGTTTTGTTTCAAAGCAATGCGCTAGGCAAAATACTCCAGCCATTGTTGGTGCAATAAATTGAATCTATATAATGAATAGATTCATATCCGCATGCTTCAATTTTGGATGATTAAAACGTATTGTTTAAAGTTATTTGGAGCGAATGATTTCGCGTAGAGAGCAGAATAAAGTCCATTCTAGCTGCTGAGTGCATTATGTATGAATGGGGTGAAAGATAATGCCGGTGTTTCCCTTTTTTTATTGAGCTATGTCAATATAGATAATGAAATATCGTAGAAAATTCTCAAATTCTGAATTCCCCAAATAATTATATCCAAAATTTTCTAATGGTGTGCTTTTGAATAGCGAGCCGTTATCTGAAAGTATGAGTCTTAAACATTTTGAAAGCACTCATGTGACGCAGACGCATACACAAATATTAATAATGTGCCCATTAACTTTTCACCCAAATAAACTTTAAATAATACATTGAAAGTTTATTAAGGATATAAACTAGAGGCTAGGATGTATTTAAACGTATACGGTAAATCATAGAATTGTACTGTATTTTGCAATTTGGAACTATAGATTATGGCTCTTCTGGAGAAACACTTATGTGCAAAGAGAAACTAATGGCACCAACGTTGTTTTTAAATCGGGCTAGAATTTATAGTTCCAAATTGCAAAATGTAGTCCAATTGACCTTAGACTTTTTAGGTTCAGTAAATATGTACACAGTGTTATGATACATGAATTTTATGTTGAAGGACAGTGAATAGCTAGGTGGCACAAATTACATACTTGTATTCAAAGAACATGGAGATGGACGAAATTGAAAGCACAGTTAATTACAAATAAGCCTCCAAAAGTATAGGAATATTAAAGAAAAATCAATTAATGAGAAATTTCCAGCACGGTACAAGCTACAAAAAAGCTTGTGCAATTACGGAGGTTTACGTCCTTTCCAAACAAGCGACAAAAGTAAGCTGCAGCTATTTTAAACTTTAAAATGAGATAAAATTTCATAATACTTACTTGTGTTGATACATGATTACAGGTTTCGTTGATGGGGTCCCTCATTAACATCGGCACCTTTGAAACTGAAAAATAAAGTACAAATTCAAGTTAACAAATGATGAAATATAAGTCCAATTTGATTTAAGTATAATAAGACCAGCGAAGTTTAGCGAAGGCTAAACGTATTTTTGGAGTAAGTATTTTAACTTATATTTCAGGTAACAAACAAAGCACAGCTCATCATAAATGATCATCCCTTCAAAAATCAGTATCGAAGTGGTATAATACGCAGACCTCTGACTTGTACTGTGGAATATACTGCCAGGTTAAGGAAAAACGCCGTATGGACATTTAAGAGTGGTCAAATTTCCTCTCATAAAATGTTAATTTTTGAGGAGAGTCTCAAATTTTTAGATAATTTAGATTCAATTGCCAATACAATTCTCTGAAAAATTGGAGAAATTCCATTTTTATATTTCATCGAAAATTTGTATTTTAGCAAAGGAAATACGGCGACGCCTAATGGCTCATCCGGCGTTCTTTCTTAGCACGGAAGTACTCAGGTGCCGTCAGAATTGGACCGCGTGAAAGGTGGTTTCACGATAACTGGAATAGTTTTGTCGTCGTAACAGACACCACATTTTTCGGTCAAATTTTTAGTAGTAATAATGATCACTCGGATTTTTTTGCATTAATCTACATAGGGTTACGTACTATAACGCTTTTCAAAGATTTATCGCTCTATTTTTCAATTTTAATATATAAATGGCTGAAAATGTGCCGTCTGTTATGCTAACTTTTTACCGCGTAAGAGACAGCACATTTTCGGTCATTTACATAATATTAATTGAGAAGTAGAGCAATAAATTATTAGAAAGCGTTATAATACGTAACCTTTGAAGATTAATGTGAAAAAATTCGATTGATCATCATTTCTACTAAAAATATAACCGAAAAATGTGTTGTCTGTTACGGCGACAAAACTATTCCAGTTACCGTGAAACCACCCTTAAGCAGAAAGGAACAAAGGCACATCAGCTATCGCCATTTGAAGGAGCAATTTAATTTTTTACATGAGACCATTTTTGCAGATTCCTCAAAATATGTTCAGGAATTCGCTTCGTGCTACGCAGAAAATTCACCGAAACTTGCACAAAAATCGGCACAACCGTTTTCATGTAAAAAATTAAATTTCCCAATAAAATTTGGCATCAGCTGATGTGCCTTGGTTCATTTCTGCTTAACGCGGTGCAATAGAGAATTTGCAGGTGTCTGAAATTTGTTGAATTTTGTGTTTAAGTGGAAACTACTGATTGAACTGAACATGAGGATACCCTTGGTTCATGAATTGAACAATTATTGGAGAAGATATGACAAAATGATCTAATCTGCTAAAATGCATGTGTTTAAATAGGAAATGCCGCCAGATGACGTCACTAGGCGGTGCATTTTCTCACTTTTAAACATATTTTCATACTATTTCCCACATCAGAAAAAAATTATAAAAAAATACTGAGAAATCAGCTCTTTAAGCACTTTCAGATGAAGCAATAAAAATTTGCATGCAGATTCTCCATTAGTCAGAAAACTGAAACTCAAATTTGTCAACCCAACTTGACAAAAGCGCTCGGGCAAAAAAATAAAGAACTCGTGTACGTGGACCTGGGGCCGTTTTCTCGGGGACGGTCACAGTATGTTTGCAAAAGTTTCAACCCGGGAGGATGCAACTGACGGCAAGGAACCGTAAGTAGCCGGCGCGGCGCGGCGTAAAAGGGTCGGGCACGGTGGAAACAGCGAAGCGGCGCGCAAGCACGGAATCGAATTAGGTTAGGGTTCTCGATATTGGGGACAACGGAGCGGCGGAAATTGGGTTACGAGGGGTCTGGCGAGATGAACGGTGCAAGTCTGGGGGCAGGGGGTCAAAAGCAGGGTGACATAGTCAGACGTTGCAACTTGCAGCCCGTACACGCTCCCCGGTTCAATGTCACCCCCGACTCGCGGGTTCGGGCGCGGCAGCGCGGCGTTAGGCGGCGTTAAGGGGTGGAAAGTGAAATATGAGGGGGAGCGGGAGAAATTCCATCCCGCGCTGACGAAAAACCCCGTATGAACCTTTAAAAATGCCGAATTTCGTTTCATGTGCATTACATACATATTTTTGCTCTATTTTCCTCGTTTGTGATTCGCTCTGAAGCGTCTGAAAATGTCAAACAAAAATATACATATGTTGTGTCAAAAATCGGTATTATATCTACAGTGATTTGGCAACGTTCAAGTGAAAAAAGAGAAATTCCATCCCGCACTAACAGAAAACCCCGTACGAGCCTTTTAAAATTTCCGAATTTCGTTTGATGTGCATCGCAGATTTTCCCATATATTCCCCTTTTTTCCCTTTTTTCCCCCTTATTACGTGATTCACTGTAAAGTGTCTGAAAATGTCAAAGAAAAATATTCGTAACTTGTCAAAAATAAATATTATATCTACGGTGATTTGGTGATGTTAAAGTGCCCATACTACGTTTTCAGCAGTTTACAACTCGGGATGCAACCTCATTCTCATCGCAAATTACATAAAGGTGAGGAGCTACCATAAAATACGTAACGCTGTTTTCCTGATTTTATGACCGATCTCTTTAAAGGCATTCGCAACGATGACGCGGACCCTATCTCCCCATGTAAAATTTGCTATGACCACATGAAAATCGGAAACATTTTAAGTGACGGATCTACTCAGTAATTCAATAACTTCAATATGACAGAATTTAACTTCGCAAACGCTACACCTGAGGCCTGGTGCCCTACTATGTCCGTTGCAATTTTTTTAGTGCTGTTTGAATAGTCTACAAAACCTGGCATCGCAGCCAGCCACCATTGCGGTCATAAGCATTCACAGCTTTTTGCAGTTTAGATATGCAAAGTAGGTGTGTTTTTTTTTTTCGCAGCTGAGTAACTTAATTTGTCTTGCAGTTGTCATATGGTTGCGATAAAGCCGCTATTTAACTTTTAATGTATCGAAATAGAAGAGGGAGTCAAGAAACCTTATTTCCTCAAGTATACTGAATGTCCTTCCGTTTTTATTGTTTTAAAATATTCATCATTACACACGGTTATAGTCCTCTCTTGTCCAGGCTATTCTTAGGGATCTAAAAGGGTTGCTGTCAACGTCGCTGATTGAGCAATCCTTCTTGAAATTCTGATTTCTTTAAATTTTCGGCTGTAGATAGATAATGATGTTTAAATTAGCCTATTGTCTTAACGTTTTTTGATCGAGATTCAGGTTTTGTATTTTAATCGCACATTGACTAGTGTAGTGCCTCCTCAAGATTTACCAAGAAAAAAAGTGAACAAAATCAATAACAAATTGTGTTAGCCGAATCTATTATTAATTACATACAGTGGAAAACAAAGGGTATGTGAAAGCAGCCCGAAACGGAAACGATAATCGAAAACACAGGAAAAAGCGGAAACAAGGCTAAAAATACACAATAAAAGGCAGGACGTTTCGGTACCTTACGGCACCATTATCAACTGCAGAAAGAATTAAAAATAAAAAGAAATTAAAATGAAAACCAGCAAACGGCGTTACATCGTGAAATTTGGCAGTCTCATTTACCAATTTCACGATGTAACGCCGTTTGCTGGTTTTTATTTTAATTTCTTTTTATTTTTAATTCTTTCTGCAGTTGATAATGGTGCCGTAAGGTACCGAAACGTCCTGCCTTTTATTGTTAATTACATACATACATATAAGTCGCTTTACAGCACTCCCTCGCGCTCTACGACTCTTAACCTCCACTGCTCTCTTTCAAACCACAAATCTTGGGGGATTGAGCACCTTAACATTTCCGCTTCAATCCCTTCCCTCCAACGTTTCATTGGGCGCCCTCTGCGTCTTCTCCCAGGAGGAACCCAGTCAAGGATCTTCTTCGGCAACCTGTCTCCTGCCATTCTCTGGACATGACCATACCAAATGAGTAATTAAATGCATAATTATTAATTAACCGTATTTAAAGCTTTTACTGTAAAAGGTCATAAAATATTTAACGCAAAAAATTGTTTTTTTCTACGCCCCCTCCTCTCTGTTACAAACTCATAAGTAGCACAGTGCTGTAACCACCCCCTCTCCTTAAAAAATTAGACGAAAATCTGTCCAGCGCCCCCCTCCCATCATGCTTTTAGATTGGCTTTTTTGATGAATTTCAGACGCAAAATCAACACTTTGCGTTAATTTTTCATCTTCAATTACCGAAAAATCGGTGATACACGGCAATATCAGCTATACGTAACGTCTTCTCCTTCTCCTCGTAACGCACCCGTGACGAAAGCTCAGACCCCTCCCCGGCCCCCCACCCAAGTAGCGTTACATATTTAACGAACGGTCCTAAGAGTGCGCCCGTGGGGACTCCATCCGGTATAAGCGGGATACCGAGCAGAGGAAAAAATGGAATCAATCGTCGATGGGGCAACAGGGCCGTCACCATAGAGACAGGGAGAGCCACGTGGGACACCGTTCTGTGGCGGTGGCGGAGGTGCTGGGTCAGGGCGGGGGCGGGGGGGGGGGGTGCGCGCCCCCGATGATCAATGCGCCCATCTCCGTCCCTCGCGCGCGCTGCACGAGGTCGCCTCATTCGCACTACCCCGCTCGTCAGACTTCTTGCGCCTTCGGAATCGTGGATGCAACAACGCCGACAAACGACCCGAACAAAAAGCGCCGCACCCTCGCCCGCCCCGCAAAAGAGCACGCGACCCCGACGTCGCCGACCGAGCAATCGTCCTGGAAATTCGTGTAAACCTCACTTTCATTCATCCGTCCCTTCCCGGTTCGTGCGAATTTCTACGTCGAGCGGCAAAGGTGAAGGACCAGTTCTGCCGCGTACGAAAAAACGCCGTACGAACCTTCAGGCGTTGCCAAATTTCCTGGAAAACTCATGAATATTTTTCTCCAATTTTTCAGATGCTGTTGTTTGCAATTTCACCTAAAGCTCCTGGAAATTTCAAGGGAAAATATTCATATCTTTCCTCCAAAATAAACATTTTATTGGAGGAAATTTGGCAACTCTCGACTGTTCATATGCCGTTATTCCTT